ATTCCTAAACTGAGCAAATGTTTTCTCTGCAAGGTCAAAGTGGGAAACCTCCCCATTGTCTTTTCCTTCACAAATCCTGTCTTAAGGGTATGTCTGTGTTTGAATAGGGTGTGAGCCTGTGACGTGGCCCAGGAACTAAGTATTTATCACTACAAAAGAATGGCCAGGCTCCCCAGGAAATCCAGTCAAGTAACCTGCCAGACAGGAGATAAACAAGGACAGGAGAAAAACAACATTCAAATTTCTGTTTTAAGACTGCCTTTTCTGTGACGTAGGTGTGATGTATCTGAGGGGTGGTCTTAGGTTACACCCCTTCTGTGCTGTATGTATGATGTTTCTGGGGGTGGTCTTGATCTACAGGGTGGCAATTTCAAAAGTCTTTATAAGGCCTTGCACGCCATTTTTCTGGGTTCCTCCTCTCTCCTGCGGATGAGGGGAGCACCCTGTTGCAACAGATCAATAAAGATCAGGCTTACTAGCTGCTTTGCTTCTCAATATTCTCTGGTTGGCCTCTGTTATTCTCTCCTACCAATAGGGAACCCATGTAAGGACTCTATATGGGCTCTTGGATACCCCATAAGGGAAAAGGGCAGATTTTTGTTTACAACACAGGCTAAAAGGGAAAAAACCGAGCAGACATTCGGCGGGAGCAACGCATGCAGCCTCGCTCACTCAGCGCGCTCGTTCGGTGTTCCCCGGACTCTCGCCTGGCACCCTCCAGAACCTTGCGCCCTGGTGCCCTGTGCCACTAGCCTCAATGGGTAAGACGGGCCTGCTGGGAAGGGACCCAGAAAGTTCATCTCATCCAACCCTGAAATGCATATTACTCGGGTCAAGTCTTTCTTTTGACTCCCCTCATCAGTTTCTGCAGTGGAAATGTAAAAACGGGACAACTATGCTTTCAAAATGGCAGTATTCCTCCCCTTTAATTTCCAGTTGAAGAAAACCAGCAATTAACAGATTTGGGGAATCTTCCCAAATATTTTCTTTTTTTAAAACCAGGTCTAGATCTGGCTGTTGAGAAGCTAGAAAAGATCCGAGTGCAGATCCTTGTTTTGCCTGGGCTTCTAACACAGCAATGTAGTTTCTGGGCCGAAATATCAAAGTACCGTATTTTTTGCACCATAACACTCACTTTTTTCCTCCTAGAAAGTAAGGGGAAATGTCTGTGCGTGTTATGGAGCGAATGCCTGCGGGTGGCGGGGGGGATCTGCTGCAGTCGTGAGCAGAGGATCCATGGTTCCCCTTCCTTCCCTCCTCCGTGGTTACAAAGCATGGATCCACATGGATCCTCAGGATTTTTGCATTGGGCTACTCCAAACTCACTGTCAGATCACATGTCTGTGGCCACAGCATGAACCACAAAAATCATATATCCACTATTTCGTTTAGAATATTTTTTTTCTTGTTTTCCTCCTCTTAAAACTACGTGCGTGTTATGGTCTGGTGCGTGTTATAGAGCGAAAAATACGGTAACCACCCACACTCAAGTTGTGCACAAAGGAAATCCACATTTTGCCCTTGAAAGAAATGACGCAAATGGTTGGCATTTGCATACCCTGGGTCATTCTGCATAATCCCTACCGTTTTAAAATTTGGGCCAATCAATTTTTCTTTTTGCAAGGATTGGGAGGAGGTGGCGCTGGCATGGCTTTGCAGAGATGCTGAAAAGCCGAGCGACGGAGGGAGAAAGATGGAGAGATGCCAGAGAGATATCTTTGGACATCTGAAACGCCCTGATCAGCTCTGTCCTGGCAGCTGGCGTTCCACGCATCTAGTCCACATGACTCCATGTTCCCCCCCCCCCGAAACTTTGTAAAACTGGAACTGAAAGCCCAGAGAGCACAGTGAAAAACTGGTGACTTTGGGGAAAGGGAGAGAATGGATAAAGCACTGAGAAAACACCCCTAATTTTCAGAACCAAGGCAGTGATGGAGGTACAGGAGTTATTTTTCTCCCTATTTTTTAACTCCTGCCTTCAAACTGCACCAGCCCTCTGCTAGGCATTGGCTACCATCTGGCATGGATACCGGAAGTGCCAACCAGACTACGTACACTGAGGCTGGCAGCTCCAGGACAGCTCGGCTGGGTCAACACTCAGCAACCAGGGCGGCCAAGGATAAACATAAGGCAAGGCTACCACCTCTGCCCATGCTTAGGGTAATCATAATTTAATTTTTATACGTTGCCCATCTGGCTGGGTTGCCCCAGTTACTCTTTCAGCAAATGGCTGCACCTCTTTGGGGTTTTGCCTATAGCTCATTTGGGACACGGGTGGCACTGTGGGTTAAACCACAGAGCCTAGGACTTGCCGATCAGAAGGTTGGTGGTTCGAATCCCCGTGACGGGGTGAGCTCCAGTTGCTTGGTCCCTGCTCCTGCCCACCTAGTAGTTTGAAAGCATGTCAAAGTGCAAGTAGATAAATAGGTACCGCCCCGGCGGGAAGGTAAACGGCGTTTCCGTGCGCTGCTCTGGTTCGCCAGAAGCGGCTTAGTCATGCTGGCCACATGACCCAGAAGCTCCCTCAGCCAATAAAGCGAGATGAGCACCGCAACCCCAGAGTCGGCCATGACTGGACCATTAGGGTCAGGGGTCCCTTTACCTTTTACATTTGTCCCCTGGCTTGAGTGGTATAGCTTAGGGGGACCCTAGGAAGCTGCCTGTTGGAGGTTGGTCAATTAGGCAATGGGCACTGCCCCAAACTTCGGCCTGCCCTCCAGCTGCCTACAATTGTCACTTAAAACCACTTCCTCAGCCTCAGGGTTGCCCTTGTAGAACACAGCAGGGAGGTCAAAACTAGAGTTAGCTGCCTCTGCCTGTCTTTGGCTCTGGCGCCCCCTACTGTTGAGCTCCCTGCTTTCTGCCCTACCAGTTTCCACAGGCTCCAGTGAAGCTGTCTTATATCACCCGACCATCAATCTCTCTAGCACTTTACACTGACTGCCAGTGGCTCCTCGGGGTTTTGGGAACGGCTTCATACTTGGGCGGTGCCAGGGAGTGAACCTGGGATCTTTTGCCTGCTGAACAGGTGCTCTCCCACTGACCTCAGCCCTCTGCACTGCTTTTGTGGCGTCCAAACACAGCCTGAAGCAAGAAGCCAGGGTGTCAGACCAAACTCCGGGCTGGGGCTCAGTTGTGCGCTGTTGTTTTGAAGAATCGTGCTAGCCGTATTTCTCAAATGTGGGTGCCCCAGCTCTTGTTGGACTACAACTCCCATCATCCCTAGCTAGAAGGACCAGTGGTCATAGATGATGGGAGCTGGTCAAACTTGCTGCCATTTGACTACAACTCCCACCATCCCTAGCTAGAAGGACCAGTGGTCATGGATGATGGGAGTTGTAGTCGGATGGCAGCAAGTTTGGCCAATGCTGCCTAGAGCTGTCCAGATATTGCTGGACAACAACTCCCATCATTCCTGGCCACACTGGCTGAGCCTGAAGGGAAAGGGGGTCCTGGTTTTCCATCTGCTTCTTTAGTAACAAGAGATCTGAGGCAGGAAAGTGGGGCTGCCTCTGGAATCCGCTCCCTGAAAAAGCTTCACTGCAAGCTGGGGCCCAGCAAAGCAAACCTCTCCCACAGGAGAGAAATCTCTCAGGACATTTCCGAGCACAATTCAAAGTGTTGGTGCTAACCTTTAAAGCCCTAAACGGCCTCAAAGGCCCAGTATACCTGAAGGAGTGTCTCCAACCCCATCACTCAACCCGGACACTGAAGTCCAGCTCCAAGGGTTTTCTGGCAGTTCCCTCTCTGGGAGAAGTGAGGTTGCAGGGAACCAGGCAGAGGGCCTTCTCAGTGGTGGCACCCGCCCTCTGGAACGCCCTCCCGTCAGATGTCAAGGAAATAAACACCTGACTTTTAGAAGACACCTGAAGGCAGCCCTGTTTAGGGAAGCTTTTAATGTCTGGTGCTTTATTACGTTTTTAAAATTTTGTTGGAAGCCGCCCAGAGTGGCTGGGGCAACCCATTCAGATGGGCAGCATATACTGTAAATAATAAATTGTTGTTGTTATGAATATAGATGCCATAGGCCAGCCTTTGCTAACCTGCTGACTTTCAGATGTTTTGGACGACAGCTTCCATCAGCCTCAACCAGCTCAACCATCATAGGTCAAAACAACCTATAAGGACATAGATTTTGTGTGTGTGTGGGTGTGTGTGGGTGTGTTTAGCTCATACTAAGTGATTGGGAGTGGGTTTTGGGGGTGACAGTGGTGAAGAAGAAGACGAAAGTTAAGCTGCCCTCAAAACACATCCCACTCCAAGGTGAATCCAGCCACGCCTGCCGTTTATGGAACCCTACACGAAAATGGGTCAAGGGAGTGTTGTTGTTGAGCGGCTGGGAGTGCCCCCCCCCACTCCAAATACGCAGGGGGTGGGCTGCCTCTGGCTTGGTGGAATCAAAACTGCCGAGACCTGCCTCTTCCCACCTCAAAATCCGTAGCAGTTCTGCAAACAGGGGGCCGATTTCAAGGACGCTATAGGTACCACACATCTACGAAAATGGGGGCAGTCTGAGAGTCAGCAGGCAGACACCAGTCCCTTTTCTTACAGTGTCTTCATTCACTTCTCTCTTCCATATTAAAGCAGTTCCTTTTCTTTTCTTAAGTCCCCATGAGTTGTTGTTGTTTTAAACACCCGAGAGAGGTCCCACCAAACCAGCTACCTTCTGCAAAACAGCACCCAGCCACTGGGCAGGCGAGATGTCGCCATCCATTTCCCCACAGCCGTTCCCTCCTTACCACGCCACACGCTGCGGAAAAAAAAGGGTTTCCAAAAAGAGAGAGGGCACAAACAAAACGGGATTCCGCCAGCCAGCCTGGGGACACAACGCACACACCCCCTTTCCCCCCTAAAGTGTCCTAAGAAGAGCAGGGAAAAGGAGAGGGAATCGGGGAGGAGCAGGCCCCTGTTAAGCAAACCTCCGGATTTATCGGCAAGCTGCCTGCCGCCCCGGCGGCCAAAACCCTTGTGCCCTGCGCCGAACCCCTCCGGGGGCTTCCTCACCGCACCGCCTTGTGCCTGCCGCCGCAGCAGCCGCAGTGCTCGCCGCACGTGTGGCAGGCGTGGAGGGGCAGGTAGCAGCACATGCAGGGGACGACGAGGGAGAGGGTGACGAGCGCCATCCAGCGGATGCAGAAGTGCGGGTGCCCGGTGTCGCAGGAGCAGGGGTCCGAATACTCTCCTTCGGAGTCCGACATGCAGTGGTAGAGCATGCTCTCCGCACACCACATGCAGGTGAACTGGTAGACGCAGCGGCCGATGGGGTCGGGGGCGTCCTGGCACTGCCCGCGCCCGTTCTCCTCGTGGTTAAAGACGTCCCGGCAGTAGACGCAGCGGGAGGGCACCGTGTCCTCCTCCACGCCTGGCGCGCCGGGGGGCGCCTGCTGCTGCTGCTGCTCCTTCAGGGGCTTGTGCCGCGGCGGCGAGGGGGCGCCATGGATGTGGCAGGACGGAGAGGCCTTGGGGTCCTTGCGCCGCCCTTCGGCCCCGGGGGGCAAGCAGTACTCTTTCTCCCGCGGAGACTTGCCGCCGCCACCGCCGCCTCCCTTCTCGAAGTGGACGCACATGTCGATTTTGTCCGGGTCCATTTGCCGCTTCTGAACCACCGCCCGGCGGTAGTCCTCGTAGCCTTTGGTTACCCAGAGCTCTTTGCAAGGGGTGATGCTCTCCAGCTCCTCTTCGTCGGGGAGCATCAGCTGCTGCAAGGTCTGGGGCTGCACCTGCCGCGGGGAAGGGGACAGAAAGGACACAGGTGTGGTCATCGCACAGCCGAAGCAGGGTGGAGAAACCCAGCCAAGCGCTACCGCCAATAGCACTTAAAATGCAAAATCCCTAAAAGCATGTGGCTCTCAAACTGTTTTCCTCCGGGCCACACTTTCAGGATCAACATTTGTGAGTGCCCCACCAATTTTTTTTTATAGTGGTACCTTGGGTTACATACGCTTCAGGTTACATACGCTTCAGGTTACGGACTCCGCTAACCCAGAAATAGTGCTTCAGGTTAAGAACTTTGCTTCAGGATGAGAACAGAAATTGTGCTCCGGCGGCGCGGCGGCAGCGGGAGGCCCCATTAGCTAAAGTGGTGCTTCAGGTTAAGAACAGTTTCAGGTTAAGTACGGACCTCCAGAACAAATTAAGTATTTAACCCGAAGTACCACTGTATTAAGAACTGGGAAACATAAAATAAGCCAAAAAACGGAATTGGAACATACTTGCATATGTGGTGGGAGTGCGAAAAGATTAAAGAATTCTGGGACATCATTTATAATGAGTTAAACAAAAAATGTTCACGCTCCCATTCACTAAAAGACTCGAGGCTTTCTTATTAGGAATCATGACAACGGAAATCAAGAAGAAGGTTAGACCACTATTCATGCATGCCACAACTGCTGCCAGGATTCTAACTGCGAAAAATTGGAAAAGCGAAACCATCCCCTCCAAAATCGAATGGCAGACCAAATTGGTAGAATACCTACAGCTAGCAAAGATAACTGGGTTAGTGAGAGGAAACTCGATACAAGATGTTAATAAAGAATGGATAGTAATCAAAGAATATCTCAAAGGTTACGGTGATAACAAAAGCTTTATGGCAGATATTGAATGAGTTTTGTAACATAAGGTAATATGGGAGGAAACTAGAATCAAAACAGAGAAAAATATTTTCAGGAAACTGTGTAAAGAAACTAATCTCAAAATAGTACAACGGGTATCGTCGGAAAGTTATTTTTTAATTGTAAATAAAACCATCTTCTATTTCTTTTCTTTTTCTTCTTCTATTTTCTTTTGTATATTTATAATTTGTAATGTCTGAAATGTAATGTTTTATATTGTATGTATTTTAATATTTCTGTATAATAAAGTTTGATTTAATTTTTTTTTAAAAAAATAAAGCCACTCTTAGCAGTGCTTGATTTGTAACATAGAACACAACTGCTTTATAATATGGTCAGGGGACATACAGAAAGTATAAAACAGTGCAGGTACCTAAGAACAGGAATCATACCCAAACATAATTATAAACAAGCCTCTTGCATACGTACCTTAAGTAGGTATACAAACTGAGATGAGAAGTGCGAGCTTGCTTGCAATCTCATTTATTTTAGTTCTAACTTGAGGCAAACAGGCTCATCTCATCAGCACAGAGAAGCCTTTCTCTTCTCCGATCTTTCATATCTGTCAGAGTTGAAAAGCCCTGCTCACGACAACATGCCGTGCAGAACTGTGGAATGCTCTGGGAATATCTAAGCGTATTCTGCAATTAAAAAAATCATTTTGATACTATTCTACAGTGGTACCTCGGGTTAAGTACTTAATTCGTTCCAGAGGTCCGTTCTTAACCTGAAATTGTTCTTAACCTGAAGCACAACTTTAGCTAATGGGGTCTCCCACTGCTGCCGCGCCACCAGAGCACGATTTCTGTTCTCATCCTGAAGCAAAGTTCTTAACCTGAAGCACTATTTCTGGGTTAGCGGAGTCTGTAACCTGAAGCGTATGTAACCTGAGGTACCACTGTATACCGCACTGCACTTAATTGTCTGAATGTTTCTTTTGATTGTTCTTGAATCAGAAAGGTTTTAATGGTGGTGGTGGTTGTTTTCCCTGTAATTTTATTGGAAGGCGCCAGCCCAGTTAGATGGACAGGGTACAAGAATGAATGAATACAGTGGTACCTCGGGTTACAGACGCTTCAGGTTAGACTCCACTAACCCAGAAATATTACCTCGGGTTAAGAACTTTGCTTCAGGATGAGAACAGAAATCGTGCAGCGGCAACACAGCCGCCCCATTAGTTAAAGTGGTGCTTCAGGTTAAGAACAGACCTCCAGAACAAATTAAGTTCTTAACCCGAGGTACCACTGTAATTACATAAATAAATACAGTCATACCTCGAGTTGAATGTGCTTCAGGTTGAGCATGTTTGAGTTGCGCTCCGCGGCAACCTGGAAGTAACAGAGTGCGTTACTTCCAGGTTTCGCCGCTCGCGCATGCGCAGATGCTCAAAATGACGTCACGCGCATGCGCAAAAGCGGCGAAACACAACCCGCACAGACGTGCCGTCGCATCTTGCGTTCCATTCGGGATGTGAACGGGGCTCGGGAACGGATCCTGTTCGCATCCCGAGGTACCACTGTAGTTTGAAGAGTACACCCCACAGCAGAAAGGGCTCCTCAAAACAACCACATTTTATAACCCAGAAGCCCCAGAGACAACCCCAGCCCCAGACACGTACCGGCCCGCTCGACGTTGCTCCCTGCGCCGTGCTGAAGGAGAACTCTTCGGAGACCGGGGACCGCAAGTAGCAGCTGGAGGAGGACTCACTGGTGACGATGGTGATGGGTTTGGGCAGCATTTCCTTGCGGCTGTTCGACGAGGACTCACTGTCCGTGTGGACCTAGAAAGAGAAAAAGAGAGTTGGCGGAGTCCCACACTACCCCTTGGTCCAGGCCATGGGTAGGCAACCTAAGGCCCGGGGGCAGGATCCGGCCCAATCGCCTTCTCAATCCAGCCCTTGAACGGTCCGGGAATCAGCATGTTTTTACATGAATAGAATGTATTACCCCTTCATGGGTCACTGCCTTGCCGTGGCGAAGGGGCTTGAATAATTCAGAGAAGCTATGAACTATGCCGAGCAGGGCACTCAAGATGGACAGGTCATAGTGGAGAGTTGCTGATCGCCAAAGAATTGATGCTTTTGAATTATGGTGCTGGAGGAGACTCTTGAGAGTCCCATGGACTGCAAGAAGATCAAACCTCTCCATTCTGAAGGAAATCAGCCCTGAGTGCTCACTGGAAGGACAGATCCTGAAGCTGAGGCTCCAATACTTTGGCCACCTCATGAGAAGAGAAGACTCCCTGCAAAAGACCCTGATGTTGGGAAAGATGGAGGACACAGGGAGAAGGGGACGACAGAGGACGAGATGGTGGGACAGTGTTCTCGAAGCTACCAGCATGAGTTTGACCAAACTGTGGGAGGCAGTGGAAGACAGGAGTGCCTGGCGTGCTCTGGTCCAGGGGGTCACAAAGAGGCGGACACGACTAAACAACTAAACAACAACAACAAGAAGAATGTGTTAAGATATTACATTCCACCTTAAGAGGAACAGGCTGTTGCGTGTCACATGCCTGTTTACATTCTGGCACAGCTTGCTGGGAACCTCCGTTTGTGTATAGCTTTTGCTTATGCTTTTTGCTTGGACACGAAGGGGAGAAGACATGTTTTCCCCTTTGTCCCGATGCTGAATAAAAGGCCTGTATATACGCTTTAGACAGCCTCTATCTGCCCTTCTGTTGCGAAAAGTTTTATTCACTGTTGGCTTGCATGCTCAGCTTCTGAAGGTTTATGAAGCTCAAGCCGCGGTTACATGCTGAACCAAGGACCGGAGATCGCTTGGCTGCCAGCCGGTGGGCTGGAGCCAGCTGGGGGCCTGCCATTTGCCCCCATTTCCTTGGACGCATCCCAACAGAATGTGCCCTTTTATTTAAAATGCATCTCTGGGTTATTTGTGGGGCATAAGAATTCATTTTTTTTCTTTCAAAATATAGTCTGGCCCCCCACAAGGTCTGAGGGACAGTGGAGCGGCCCCCTGCTGAAAAAGTTTGCTGACCCCTGGTCCAGACATTGGCTTCTTCTCTTGGTTGCCTGGCCCACAGTGCCCCTACTGGCATGGAGGTGGCTTGCAGCCAAACTGCGTCTCAGGTTAGATGCCCGTTTCTGAAGTCCAAAAGCTCAGTCCCCGTCGAGAGGCACGCAGAATGTGCAAAACTTCAGTTATTTATTTTAATCCGTTGCATTACACTGTGTGATGGCCTGGGATTTGGACTTGGAGGCTGAACATGAGGGATCCCAGCACAGGAGTCCCCGACTCCAGAACCAGCTGAGCCGGGGCTGGGGCTTGAGCCTGAAGGGTCCACACCTGTGCTGGATCCTCAGGTGCAGGCATCAGCTGAGCCTGCTCTGGCTCCTGAGGTGATGGAGGACCCATTGCCTGCAGGTGCTCCACTCTCAGCCCCGTCAGAGGAAGCTGAGGTCACCTCTGGGTCCGGTAACCCTCCAGCCTCTCCTGAGCTGCAGAGGCTCAGGGCAGAGAGGCGGAGGGAACTAAGTTCCCGCAGGAGGAGTGCTCGCCTCCAGGCCAGGAGAGGCGAGTCACCAGAGGATCGGGGCCTCCCTATGCCTCGGGGCAGATAAAAGCCGGCCAGCCCCAGTCCCAAGTTGTGGGAGCAACATTGTTGGTTGCTAGTTCCTGTCTGAACCCTGTCCAGCTCTTCTTCCAGAGTTCCTGACCTCACCTGACTCCCTGCCTTGGACCCCGCTTCACCTTTGATGGACAGCCTCCATACCGCACCCTTGACCTCGGACTGGACTCGCCGCATGGTTAACCCTTGGGACCAGCACACACTGCAACTTTGGGACACTCAAGGTGGGGGTACGTGGGTTCTCTTCCTCCCCATTTTATCGTCACGACAACCCTGTGAGGTAAGGCTGGGCTGAGAGAGAGTGAGTGAGCGGTCCAAGCTCATCCAATATGTTTCATGGCTTTCTGTCCATCTGGCCTAGCTGGCATTAGAGTCAGCCCACTCCCCCCCCAAAACCCCCCCCCCCAGCTTTCCAAATTTTCATCAGGCAATGGACATGCTCCTGCAAACCCTTTGTTGGTAATCATGAGGGAAATAATCTTGATTCAGGTTGATCCCCTTCCCCTCTTTCTTTTTTCCTTTCTCCTTCTGTGTTGGAACTCCTATTTGGGGACTTCCCTGGCTTTTTACTGGCCCACGTAGGACCAGTCTGGATAGTTAGCCAGACGTTTTTATCCCCCCAGAAGTTTTTGATTGAGTTTCCACTGAAATGAGGCTGCATTTTAATGCTTTAATGTTGTATTTTAATCTTGTTTTTTAAGCTGTATTTCAATCAATTGTTTTTATATTTGGTGTTAGCCGCCCTGAGCCCGGTCTTGGCTGGGGAGGGCGGGGTATAAATAAAATTTATTATTATTATTATTATTATTATTTTATTTTTATTATTATTATTATTATTTTGGAAAGCCAAACCAAAACGCACATTCTGGGATTTCCTGGGATGTTCATGAGATTCTAAGAAGAGCTGTGCAGGATCAGGTCCATCTTGTGCAGCAAGCACTCCCTTGTGCAGATTTTGGAGTGCACCCAACTAAATTAGATACAGAGTAGACCCAGTGAAACTAATGGAGCTAAGCTATTCCTGCCCGTTAATTCCAAAGGGCTTGACGAACGTTGGAACGCAACCCTTTGGTGTTTTTGGTGGAAGAGCTGCTGGGATAAGTTTGGTTGGTAGAGCACGAGGCTCTTAATCTCAGGGTCATAGGTTTGAGCCCCACGTTGGGCGAAAGATCCCTGCATTGCCCGGGGTTGGGCTAGATGACCCTCAGGTCCCTTCCAACTCTACAATTCTGTGGTTGTATTGAAGGAATGGGTTTCCCAAATCTAAAAACCTGACTGTACAGTCAGTCTGAAATGGGACCCAAAATCCACATTTTCCCCCCTGCTGCAAGGGAGCATTTCTAAAATGCATTAACTTGAGCTCATGAGTCAATGTATAAACAGAAAGCCAGCTGTATAAACAAGTGCTCAAAGCGCTCTCCTTTATCAGTCCGTGATGGCAATGGATGGCCTTGGCTGTTCCAGGGGAGCAGGGATGGCACTCTGTCTATCTTATCTTACATTAAGACCACACTCTGACGCTCAGACTTAGTCCGGGAACGGCGCCAGGAGTTGGTGACCACTTGCTCCAATATAAGAGTATAGGAACAGGAACAGGAACACCCTTTTATGGTCAAAAGTACAGGAAGAGGAAAACCCTTTTATTAAGAGTAAGGAGCAGGAACATCTGTGATGTCAACTTGCGTGTATAGGCTGACGTGGCTGGATTCCTGGGGAAGGGGGGAGAGGTTGCCTGGAAGATATATATACTGCATGAAATCTCTCATTTCTTTGGACTTGCTGTGGACTGACCACGCAAGTGCCTTCTGCTATCTGGAGAGCAGAATAAACTCTTTCTCTGAATCAACCTCAGTATCATTTGACTTCCTTCCTCCCTCCCGGGAACAACGCAGACCCCACCAGTCGGTAAACTCTAATAAGGCTACAGTATGATTCCTGCCAAGGAAGTAAGGCACTCTGCACACACTCAGAAGCGCCGCGAGTGAAATGTCAGGAAACTGCTTACGGCAAGAACTTCATCTGTCCCGTCGGCGTCGTCCTGGGAGGAGGAGGTAGAGGAAGGTGAGAGGGAACCTGAGAGAATGAAAACAGAGGGGTAAAAGTTATGCCACCAACCCCCACCCCCTAAAAAAAAACCCCCATCCCATTTTAAACAGCAAAGCTTCAGCTAGGCTGCAAATAGTACCATGCACTCTTGAGCAGGATGGATAAAAGTCAATGGTTTTAAAAAAATAATCAATTTTTTAAAATAAAAATTATTTAAATTGGATTTTTAAAATAAAATGCTTTTTTGGGGAATTTTTTTTTTTCTAAAGATGGTTTTCTATTTAAGTTACATTATAGTTCAAAGGCTATTCATCAGGAAATATTCATTTGTTTTAAGTTTTTCATGCATGCTAAAGTTCGTTGTTTTTTAAATTGTTTAACCACTTCAGTTAACAAACATGGATACATATGCTATAATGTTACAGTGGTACCTCAGGTTAAGTACTTAATTTGTTCCGGAGGTCCGTACTTAACCTGAAACTGTTCTTAACCTGAAGCACCACTTTAGCTAATGGGGCCTCCCGCTGCTGCTGCGCCGCTGCTGCACATTTTCTGTTCTCATCCTGAAGCAAAGTTCTTAACCCGAGGTACTATTTCTGGGTTAGCAGAGTCTGTAACCTGAAGCGTATGTAACCTGAAGCGTATGTAACCTGAGGTACCACTGTATTGTTCTAGTTAAATAAATTGTTATTAAGGAAATGATTATTTGTCTCCTTCCAATAAAGTACAGCAGAAAAGATTTCCAAATACAAGCAGTTAACTTATTAAACCTCACAATAATTTCATAATTATCTGTTTATGTATTTCTAATCGTATAGCCAAATCAGTAATTTCTGATTTAACTGTAAAAACTACTCTGAAAATTTGTTATTCTGAAAATGAAGCCTTCATCTGGTTGTAAATATTAAGATTATACCAGCAAGAATGAGTCTTTCTGTAAATAAAAAATAAAAAATTTTTAAACTCCATTAGCCGCCATCCATCCTCCAATCGCCTCCAGACACTCACACAAGACCTTCACTGCCTTCGCTGGTTCTGATTTGAAAGAGAGGTAGAGCTGGATGTCATCCGCATACTAATGAACACCCATCCCAAACCCCCTGATGATCTCTCCCAGTGGCTGCATGTAGATGTTGAAAAGCATGGGGTGAGTGCATAGTGTGAGAAACCTGGCAAGCAGCACTGATGCCCCTGACTCTTGCCCCCCATGCTGCCCCCTCACCTTCAGCAATCTCCTCCAGGGCAGCTTGCACCCCTCTCTCGAAGGCCACGGCGTCGGCAGGGCTCTGGAAAGTGAGGCCAAACTTGTTGTCTCCGACTTTCCAGTGGTGGAAAATGGGGTTCACCTTGTTGTAGACGAGGTCCCTCTTCAGAGCACACTCCAAGATGGTCTGCCGTAGGGAAAGAAGGAGGTTGAGGGCGAACAGCAGCCACCCAAGGTCAAAGGCTGGGAAAGAGGGGAGAAAGGGCTGGATTCGCCCCAAATCTGCATCTGCCCTGCCCCTTGAAGTGGGAGGCTGTGACCCTGTAAGCAAAAGCTCCTCTCCAAACAAAGATAGCAGGACCTCGCAACCCGCAATTGCCACCGAAGGCCCTATTCTGTGTGCCACTTCCGCTGGAGGTTCTGAGGGCGGCGACACGACAGCAGGCCTTTTCAGTGGTGGCACCTTGCTTGTGGAATGCTCTCCCTGGGAAGGCTCACCTGGTGCCAGATCTTTAGTAGACAAAAAAACATTTAGTTTTTGCCAGGCCTTTGGCTTTGACTTATGTGCAGCCCCTTTCAGCGGGTGGGATGGTTTCACAGAGCTACTATTCCCAGAGGGGTGTTAGAGGAAGAGTAGTACCCTCGGGGGGCGGGGGGACACGGCGTGCTCCTTCTGGGGTACGTTGGCATAGCTGTCAACTTTCAGATTTGAAAATAAGGAATCAGCGGCCTTGAAAATAAGGGATCAGCAGCCAAAATAAGGGATTTTAATCAGCCAACTGAAATATGAAGTTAAAAGGGACCAGATAATTTTGGAGAGCAGCGCCGGTTTTTAGCCCTTCATTTCCAGAGGTTGCTGCTGAAGCTGATGAAACACTGCAATTGAATAACTACAAGCAGCAACCACTTTTTGCGCAAAACGAAGTCCAAGCTACGAAGATGCTGCCCCAGGCAGAGATGCTCAGTTCAGCGGCCACAAGGAGGATGGCGGCAGAAGGGCCCGAGGCTCCCGCCAGTCCCGGCGGGGAGGGGCTCCCAGAGGCCAAGCAACACAGCTGGAGCCTCCCTCCTCCCTGGCCGGCAGGCAGGGAGGGAGAGGAGCTGCTTCCTTTGAAACCCGGGAAATTTAAGGGACATCATCAATAAGGGACAGCAGCCGGACACGGCGCTGGGATAAGGGACTTTGCCGCCAAATAAGGGACGATTGACACCTATGCAGTATACATCGTATGTTCGACTTCTGAGCCCCTCCAAGCCAAAGGCAGAAAGCCCAGCCAGCAGCCAAACAAAGCCTCAAGCGGTGGTTCCCACAGCGCAGCAACCCAGCAAAGGGGATGCAGCAAGGAAAACCACCGTCACCTCTCTGCTGGGAAGCGCTGAGCAAAGGCGAGGCCCCAGGCAACGCGGCCGATTTGATCGGCACAAGGCATGCAAGCTCCACGCCCCGTCGTTCTTAGACTCCTTATTGGGTGAGCAACGCAGCCAAGCAACACAGCTGGAGCCTCCCTCCTCCCTGGTAGGTAGGGAGGGAGGGAGGGAGAGGAGCTGCTTCCTTTGAAACCTGGGGAATTTAAGGGACATCATCAATAAGGGACAGCAGCGGGACACGGCGCTGGGATAAGGGAGTTTCCCGCCAAATAAGGGACGGTTGACAGCTATGCTCCACGGAAAGGGAGGCGTCGAAGGTTACAGCCAAACCCCTTTGCTGAGTTTATTTCAATGGTGGGCTCTTCTGGTTTGCAACCTCCTCTTTCCCTTCCCGCCAGCTGCACGTCACGAACCCCGTCTTCTCCCCGAATAAAAGCCCTGTCGATCTCACCGTTTGGTCCCGCAGGCGCTCCCCGCTGATCAGGTACTGGCGACGACGCCCTTCCTCTGGGCGCCGGACTTTGCAGATGATGACGTGGCTCAGGCCGCCTCCGCCCATGGGCACCCAACCCCCACTTGAGTCGTCTCGGGTCATCACCACAGCCCGCACCCGAACCATGTAACTGGGGAAGGAAGGAGGGCAAAGAGATAGCAGAATTCAGAAGGAGCCAATCTGGAGACAAGGTTAAACAAGAACGGAGCCGTTTTGAAAACTATCTGACAAAACATGGTTCCCTCCTGTGGGGTGGAAATAGGAAACCTATATTTTAATAAATTCTCTGCGTTTTTATTTTTAATCTTTTTTTTTTTCTTTGCTCCCTGTGGTTTGTAAATACGTGAGTGTCATTTTGGACAGCATCTTTCCAAAGTTCTTATTTCGTCAAATTGTTAAGTAAAACTTTTTAAAAAATCCAAATGAAGGAGTTGACACGGCCAGCAACACGTTGTTAACTTGCACTATCCCATTAACAGGACTTCTAGGTTTCCTTTGGTGTAATTGGACCGCCTTATCCTTTACTTCCACATGAACATCATTTTGTTAATTTGTTTATTCATGGGCTATTCTGGATACAGTGGTACCTCGGGTTAAGTACTTAATTCGTTCCAGAGGTCCGTTCTTAACCTGAAACTGTTCTTAACCTGAAGCACCACTTTAGCTAATGGGGCCTCCTGCTGCTGCTGCACTGCCGGAGCACGATTTCTGTTCTCATCCTGAAGCAAAGTTCTTAACCTGAGGTACTATTTCTGGGTTAGCGGAGTCTGTAACCTGAAGTGTATGTAACCTGAAGCGTATGTAACCCGAGGTACCACTGTACTTGGGAGGGAAATAAATTACAATTTTACATAAAAAACAAAAGAAAACATGGTTCCAGCAACAACACCCTTGGCTGCTCCTTGAGTAAATTCACAGATATAAGGGAAAGCTCGTTCAGTTCAATAATTCAATACAGATTACATAATAGTAAGAGAAGCATAGGAACTGTGAAAAGAGGTAGAGGAACAGAAAGAATGTGAAAAGCAGAAAACTATAAATACGAAGGTAAATTCTTCCCGGGAATCTGATGTACAGATTCTTTAAAATACGGTTTGTAGTCCTGAAATGAGTTTGTATGTTGGAAAAATATTTGGTTTTTGTGTTTTTTTCTTTTTCATCTTTTTTGCTGGGGTTTTTTATTTTTTTTTACCTGTTTTGATTATGGATTGTTGCTGTTGATTGCTTTTATTGGTAAATTAATAAAGTATTTTTATTTTTTTCAAAAATTCTATTAATTTTCCACATTTATAACAGAAATAACATACAAAACACACAAAAGAAAACACATTACAATACTAAAGAATTTTTTTTAAAAAACACTTATTACTTCTAAGACCTAATTTAACTTTCATCGTTAGCTGACTTCCTCAAATCCCCCCTAACTGAATTTCATTGAATCACCTTGTAACAGTTCTCCAAAATCATATTTCCAATAAAATTAACTCCTTCAATTTACTATCCTCTTCTCTTTTATTAATATTCTAATCCTTAATGCTTTACAATTCATTCTTATTCTAATCCTAAGCCTATTTGATACTTCCAAGTAACTTCTAATTATCTAAAGCATTTTTTAAAAAGAAAAAAAGGGGGGGAGGAAGAGAGCAAAGAGGAGAAGCGATCAGGGAGGAGCTGCCTTGAAACCCCCCGAGTGGCCCCAGAAGCATCGCGTGCCATGGGAGAAAACGGTCCTCTGCTGTCTCACACACACACAAACCAATTTATTACTATTTGTTGTTGTTGTTTAAGGACTCCTAGGCATAGCTGTCAACTTACAGATTTGAAAATAAGGGATCAGAGGCCTCGAAAATAAGGGATCAGCAGCCAAAATAAGGGATTTTCGGAGCACAGGTATGTTCGACTTCTGAGCCCCTCCGAGCCAAAGGCAGAAAGCCCAGCCAGCAGCCCAACGAAGCCTCAAGCAGTGGTTCCCACAGCGCAGCAACCCGGCAAAGCGGATGCAGCAAGGAAAACCACCGTCACCTCTCCGCTGGGAAGCGCTGAGCAAAGGCGAGTCCACAGGCAACGCGGCCGATTTGATCGGCACAAGGCATGCAAGCTCCACCCCCCAGTTGTTCTTAGACTCCTTATTGGGTGAGCAACGCAGCCAAGCAACACAGTTGGAGTCTCCCTCCTCCTTGGTAGGGAGGGAGGGAGAGGAGCTGCTTCCTTTGAAACCCGGGAAATTTAAGGGACATCATCAATAAGGGACAGCAGTGGGACAAGGCGCTGGGATAAGGGACTTTGCCGCCAAATAAGGGACGGTTGACACAAAACATGTCTCTCCTGCATCTGTCTCTAGAGCCACAGCAGGTCCTGTAACTCTCCAACAGTTTGACTTCACCCCCGAATGTACACACTTCCACTGTCTCCCGAGAAAGATGGATGATATCTATTACCTGCCCTTCACTCTAAGGTCCCAGGGTACGAGGCAACATTGCAATACAACATTGCATGCAACACAACATTGCAATGCAATATTTTAAAACGTGCAGTTACAGAAATAAGGCAGGGTGGATAAAAATAAAAGTTTTTTAAATTAAAAAATCAGATTATTTTTTTAAAAAAACAGGATTTTTTAAAATTTAAATTGGATTTTTAAAATACGTAAAATGCTTTTGGAGGAAAAAATCTTTCTAAAGATAGTTTTCTATTTAAGTTACATTATAGTCCAAAAGCTATTCATCAGGAAATAAGGATTTGTTTTAAGTTTTTCATGTGTGCTAAAACTCAGTCCAAGTTTTTTTAAAATAAAAATTGTTTAACCACCTCAGTTAACAAACATGGGTACATAAGCTATAACGTTATTGTTTTAGTTAAATTATTATTAAGGAAATGATTATTTTTCTCCTTCCAATAAAGTACAGCAGAAAAGTTGTCCAAATATAAACAGTTAACTTATTATTAACCTCACCATAATTTCATAATTATCTGTCTATGTATTTCTAATCGTATAGCCAAATCAGTAATTTTTGAGATAACTGTAAAAACTATTCTGAAAATTTGTTATTCTAAAAATGAAACCTTCATCTGGTTGTAAATATTAAGATTATACCAGCAAGAATGAGTCTTTCTGTAAAAAAGAAAAGAAAAAAGATTTAAATCAAGTCTTACCGACTAGTGATTTAAATCGTGATTAAAATAGATTTGATTTAAATCAAATCCACCCTTTAAGGTTGGTTGATTGGTTGGCATCCATCTGTCTCGTGAAGAGGGCCCCTTTGTGGGGGTGAAGTCAAAATGTTGGAAAGTTGCAGTATGAAAAATATACAAGTGCCAAAAGCCAGGGCAAAGAGATGTGATGATGCCGATGATTTCATAAGATTGCATTAAAGCTTTTTCACAATGCAATGCAATAAGCATAATGAAAGAAACTAATCTAAATACAAACAGAAACAGCAAAAGAAAGGGGAACGCAGATCCTCTTTAAATGTATAGCTTTTCCAACAGGGAAACAGGTGGATCCTCTCTGCTCTCCCCAGTGAGATAAGCCTTTCTTCTCCCAGTCTCTCACCCTGAAATATCTTCCCGTCAACAAATGAAACTGATTTGTAAAAATGTTACATGGGGGGGAAAAATACAAGAGAGAGACATTGCACACACTTTCGTAAATCAATAAAATCTTTAATAAAAATAAAAAGAGAGTGTCGTGTTTTTAGATCATGGGTAGGCAAACTAAGGCCTGGGGGCCGGATACGGCCTAATCGCCTTCTCAATCCGGCCTGCAGACAGTCCGGGAATCAGTGTGTTTACATGAGTAGAATGTGTCCTTTTCTTTAAAACGCATCTCTGGATTATTTGTGGGGCCTGCCTGGTGTTTTTACATGAGTAGAATGTGTGCTTTTATTTAAAATGCATCTCTGGGTTATTTGTGGGGCTTAGGAATTCGTTCATTCCCCCCCAAAAAATATAGTCTGGCGCCCCACAAGGTCTGAGGGGCAGTGGACCGGCCCCCTGCTGAAAAAGTTTGCTGACCCCCTGTTTTAGATGATTCAAAATGTCTGAAGTAAACGGTTGCAACCGTGAGAACGGCCCTGTAATGTAGGTGAGAGTCAGGCCCCCTCCAAGCTGCATGTTGTGAGGAGGAAACCCGAGGATGAGTTTGGCTCGCGTTGATGCACAGAATCAGGCCACAAAGTGTGCTGAAGGCAAAGGCAGAATTTGCATTAGGCACTTCGTAGCTCAGCTTTTGAGAAAAGCAATGACAAACCTAGACAGCATCTTAAAAAGCAGAGACATCACCTTGCCAACAAAGGTCCGTATAGTTAAAGCTGTGGTTTTCCCAGTAGTGGTGTATGGAAGTGAGAGCTGGACCATAAAAAGGGCTGATCACTGAAGAATTGATGCTTTTCAATTACGGTGCTAGAGGAGACTCTTGAGAGTCCCATGGACTGCAAGAAGATCAAACCTCTCCATTCTGAAGGAAATCAGCCCTGAGTGCTCACTGGAAGGACAGATCGTGAAGCTGAGGCTCCAATACTTTGGCCACCTCATGAGAAGAGAAGACTCCCTGGAAAAGACCCTGATGCTGGGAAAGATGGAGGGCACAAGGAGAAGGGGACGACAGAGGACGAGATGGTTGGACAGTGTTCTCGAAGATACCAGCATGAGTTTGACCAAACTGCAGGAGGCAGTGGAAGACAGGAGTGCCTGGCGTGCTCTGGTCCAGGGGGTCACGAAGAGTCGGACATGACTAAACAACTAAACACCAACACCACCAACAACAATGTGTGCTTTTATTTAAACTGCATTTCTGGGTTATTTGTGGGGCACAGGAATTTGTTCATCCCCCCCCCCCCAAAAAAATATAGTTCGGCCCACCGCATGGTCTGAGGGACGGTGGACTGGCCCACGGCTGAAAAAGGTTGCTGACCCCTGGTCTAACCCATCTTTTAAGACCTCTTTTTTTTTTAACGTATCTGGAGAAGGCAGGGCTTGAACCTGGGACGTTCCGCATGCCAAGCAGGTGTCTCGCTTGTGTCTTGGCTGAATGTTAGCAAAAGGCAGCTGGCTTTAGATGTGGCCCCATCGCAGTCACTGGAACAGCAGCCTCAGCTGCCGAGCGTTATGCAAACTCTGATCTAATC